GTGTGTGTGTGTGTGTGTGTGTGTGTGTGTGTGTGTGTGAGTGTGTGTGTGTGTGTGTGTGAGTGAGTATGTGTGTGAGAGAGAGAGAGTGTCTGTGTGTGTGTGTGAGAGAGAGAAAGAGAGTGTGTGCGTGTGTGCGTAAGTGAGTGTGTGTGTGTGTGTGTGTGAGAGAGAGAGAGAGTGTGTGTGTGTGTGTGTGTGCGTGTGTGTGCGTGCGTGTGTGTGCGTGCGTGTGTGTGCGTGCGTGTGTGTGCGTGCGTGTGTGTGCGTGCGTGTGTGTGCGTGCGTGTGTGTGCGTGCGTGTGTGTGCGTGCGTGTGTGTGCGTGCGTGTGTGTGCGTGCGTGTGTGTGCGTGCGTGTGTGTGCGTGCGTGTGTGTGCGTGCGTGTGTGTGCGTGCGTGTGTGTGCGTGCGTGTGTGTGCGTGCGTGTGTGTGCGTGCGTGTGTGTGCGTGCGTGTGTGTGCGTGCGTGTGTGTGCGTGCGTGTGTGTGCGTGCGTGTGTGTGCGTGCGTGTGTGTGCGTGCGTGTGTGTGCGTGCGTGTGTGTGCGTGCGTGTGTGTGCGTGCGTGTGTGTGCGTGCGTGTGTGTGCGTGCGTGTGTGTGCGTGCGTGTGTGTGCGTGCGTGTGTGTGCGTGCGTGTGTGTGCGTGCGTGTGTGTGCGTGCGTGTGTGTGCGTGCGTGTGTGTGCGTGCGTGTGTGTGCGTGCGTGTGTGTGCGTGCGTGTGTGTGCGTGCGTGTGTGTGCGTGCGTGTGTGTGCGTGCGTGTGTGTGCGTGCGTGTGTGTGCGTGCGTGTGTGTGCGTGCGTGTGTGTGCGTGCGTGTGTGTGCGTGCGTGTGTGTGCGTGCGTGTGTGTGCGTGCGTGTGTGTGCGTGCGTGTGTGTGCGTGCGTGTGTGTGCGTGCGTGTGTGTGCGTGCGTGTGTGTGCGTGCGTGTGTGTGCGTGCGTGTGTGTGCGTGCGTGTGTGTGCGTGCGTGTGTGTGCGTGCGTGTGTGTGCGTGCGTGTGTGTGCGTGCGTGTGTGTGCGTGCGTGTGTGTGCGTGCGTGTGTGTGCGTGCGTGTGTGTGCGTGCGTGTGTGTGCGTGCGTGTGTGTGCGTGCGTGTGTGTGTGTGTGTGTGTGTAAGAGATAGAGTGAGTGTGTGGGAGGGAACGGCAGCTCTTGTTTCTCAGGGCTGTGAGGTTTTCAGAGGCTTGGCTGGTGGAGGGCAATGAGCACGTGACGCTCATCCTCTGTCAGGCCGAACCCTGAGCCTCGCGCATTAAAACATGCTCTGCAGGAAACAGGCTGAAATCCAGCGGCTTCTTGCTGAACCAGATAATAGCTCGACAGCTCGATTTATGCTGTCGTTTTTTTTCTTTCATTTTTGATACATATCATGATATGCAGGCATTGGAATGCTCTAGTATTTGTTTTTTACTTTGTACTTTAGATTGCATTTGATTTATTGTGTGTGTGTGTGTGTGTGTGTGTGTGTGTGTGTGTGTGTGTGTGTGTGT